GATAATAATAATAATAATAATAATAATAATAATAATACATAATAATAATAATAATAATAATAATGATAATGATAATAATAATAGTAATGATAATAATAAAAGGTTGTCTGTCAATGTCTTTTTTAAAGTGATGTGTTGGCAGCTATAGCACACTCTGTATCTGTCTCCAACTCTGTATATCTGACTATGGTGAAATCCTGGACACTGAGGAACGCGTTAATACCAAATGCACAAGCATCACATCACATTCGTTGTTTGATTGTAATCAATATACATCACTGTCTGGAGCCACGTTTAGGGGCTGACGTGTAGAAAAGCCCGGGAAAAATCACTAGCCATCGAGAAAGCAAATCAGCTCTGTATGCTAATGTGGCAATGCATACCATATTGCCTGAACCGTGGGGGTGCAGAGAAAAACAATTCCGGCCCGTAAAACGCCAACTTGGCATGCGGCCACTAAAACACAATTGAAACTAGCGTTGAGCTGACACTGTTTACTGCCTCTTCAGGCCTCGCACAATATATTGTGGCCCGGCTTTTTTACAAAAGTCGAAAAAAGTCATCGGCTCCTTGATTTCAATTCAGATTGAAGGTTCTAGCCTTCCGTTTTGCACGTATGTGTGAAGTGCGAATAACATTTTTTTTCTTATTCATTTGGTCTGGAAATTTATAATGAAATTTTGGACAAAAAGGACGTAGCCTAACGGGGTTGTTGTTGCATTCCCTTGTACAGTCGAACCTGTCCATAACAGCTTCTCATTGTCGAGGAGAAAGTGGTCATCTAAGACAAGTGGCCCTGTTAGACAGTGTCATTATAATTCGAAAACAAAGTCACAAGTTGGGAAGTTGGAAGTGGACGGTAATTCAGGTGATTGTCTAGGACAAGTGCTCGTTTGAGAAGGCTCAATTGTATTATAATGACACTGTCTGTCCAAGACATCCACCTGTCTAAGACAACAGCTTTTGTCCTCGACAATGGGTGCCCGTCTTGGACAAGTTAACCTATTTGTATCTCGGCCTCTCCAGTTCTGACTGCAAAAGTAGGGCGCCCGTCTGTCTGCAGTTCGTTGCACGGGTTACTTTTCTCTTTGTCCGTGATTGTTACTTAACGCGTAGCGACAGGAGCCAAAATAACTGTGTTTATGAGCGTCTAATTTTGAGACTGTAATTACGTGTACTACGTTGGTTAATTGGAAAGGTCAATAGAAAAATTGCCACCACCTTGGGAAAAAAAAACAATTCTAAAAAAGAAGCAGAAAAAAACCACACACATAGTTGAAGGGTATAGGAGTAAGAGGGTTTAATAATGATACTAATACTATTTATAGTGATGACGACGACGACGACGACGACGACGATGATGATGATGATGATGATGATGATGATGATGATGATGATGATGATGATGATGATGATGATGA